TTTGAGGCAAAGTCTCTCTCTGTCGCCCAGGCTGGAGTGCAGTGGCACAGTCTCAGCTCACTGCAACCTCTGCCTCCTGGGTTCAAGCAATTCTCCTGCCTCAGCCTCCTGAATAGCTGGGATTACAGACGCATGACACCACACCCAGCTAATTTTTGTATTTTAATAGAGATCTAGTTTCACCATGTTAGCCAGGCTGGTCTTGAACTTCTAACCTCAAGTGATCCGCCGGCCTCGACCTCCCAGAGTGCTGGCATTATAAGTGTGAGCCACCACGCCCAGCCTATTTTTGTTATTTCTACCCTCATCATACTAATATGCCACCATCCCACTCTGTTGGCGGTTGTGCTGTCCGCCTCTGCATCTAGGCTGAAATTCTTGAGAGCAGGAACTGTGCCTTATTTCTCCAGACCCTCAGCACCTAGCACAGTGCCTGGCACATAGCAGGAAGGAAGAAGGGAGGAAAGGAAAGTAACATTTTGTGAGCAAACACCATCATACCTCCGCCAGGTATTCTGTAGTGTCCTGGGTATTGATCACATGGTTACCCGATGCGGTTTTGCTTTTTTTTTTCCCATTTCAACAAAAGTCAGTCTAAGGGAAAGCATCACCTTCCAGCTTTCCACAGCTACTGAGGGTCAGAATCCAGAACCAGGTCTTCTCTTGTACCCTCACCGCACTGCCTTGAGCTGCCCAGGGCTTCTTTTGAATTAATTGTCAGTCCAGCCCTTCAGGATCCACTACTCTTGTTCTACCCGCAGACAAGGACGTGCACATGGGTCCGCACACTGGCAGGTCCCTCTATCCCTAAGGATGAATAGGGGAGCTTCCCAAGGACAGCACCCGTAGCTGGGAGGATTCTCAATCCTTTGTACCAGCTGTTGTTGCCACAGTCCACTTCTTTCAAGGATTTCAAACCCTTTCCAGGTATTCTCTGAGGACAAATCTTACTGGCTCTGGCTTTTTTTGTTGTGAATCAGAGTCTTGCTCTCTCACCCAGGCTGGAGTGCAGTGGCGCGATCTCGGCTCACTGCAACCTCTGCTCCCGAGTTCAGGAGATTCTCCTGCCTCAGCCTCCCGCGTAGCTGGGACTACAGGTGTGTGCCACCACGCCCGGTTAATTTTTTGTATTTTTAGTAGAGACGGGGTTTCACCATGTTAGCCAGGATGGTCTTAATCTCCTGACCTCATGATCTACCCACCTCAGCCTCCCAAAGTGCTGGGATTACAGGCATGAGCCACCGTGCCCCACCCCTGGCTGTTTTATAAACAGATGTCAAAAATCCCATTTTTCATTTCTGGCTATCAGCTCACCCCTAA